ATAACTGGCCAACGCCCCTACTACAGATGCGAAGATACGTTTTTTGCAATAGTTCCCCGCAGGTTTTTGTAGCTAACGACATTGCTTTTTTCCAGCAGATGTTTCTAGCTAAAAGAATTGAAGCTGACCGCTAGGACTATCCCCTTAAAATCACAGTCCTCTAGCTTTTCAGTTCTCCGAATTAGCAGCTTACCTGCCAAAAACTTTGACGGACCCGTACATGGGAGCCACGTGAGAGTGCCCATTTTGGGGATAGCGACCCATATATGCAGGCGGATTAGGTTTCCGTAGTTTCAGCCTTGTACTTTTGTAGGTTCTGAGTTGAAAAATCAGCACAAAGACACGCACAGACAACCTCCCGTCAATATGCGTTTTCTGTATTGCATCGATGCAAAAAAACGAATAAAAATTATAAATGTGGGAAATTCTCGCGAAAAAAAAAACCACCCTCAAGTAAGGGCGAAAACAAAAATTTCGTTTTTAGGCACCTTTACACTTTCCGCTGTAGGGGTACCTAAAAGCAAAATTTTTGTTTCTGTCCTTCACTTAAGTCTACATTTTACTGCCAGTAACTTAATCAATTAGATAACAGACAAACTCGTTTAATACACAGGACGCTAACCCGAAATTCCGCTTCTCCTATTTTCTTTATACCTCGAATCCCAATAAAACCAGTACAATTTAATGACGCAAAATAAACTGCATATTTTAACACGTAGAAGATTTCAGGCCCCAGTTCTCTTTCAATCTCCTTGCCAGGAATATTCACCGTCTGTATTTTTAAAATTTCTACAACAACACTTGATGAGTGCAGGAGCCCAGTGAAAACCGACCTGTGGAAAATTGGATGCCTGTTGCTGTTGTGGGATCATGAATGCTGGTGTAATTTGCATCTGACCATGAGAGGCTGGCAGGACGAACGGTGCATGAAGCGTAACCAGGGGATGTGCCTTTCGGGCATAGGATGTTCTTATGGTGACCGGAGCTTCTGAGGTGGTTGCTGCTGATGATGCGGTTAAACTGAAGAAATTCCTGCAAATACTGCTCACTGAAATAAATTCTCGTTTTTTTCAGCATCACCGACTTCATGAAAATTTTCATATGACTGATAACATGTAGATACACACATCCACCCACACACACACACACACACGCACACACATCCACCCACACACACACACATCCACCCACACACACACACACACATCCACCCA